GGTGTTATATAGGCTCCCGGAGGCTATTTTGAGGACATGCAGCTCATGCTATTTGCCATGACACTTCGTAATCGAGCCACCCATGTCCGCAGCCTCCCACTTTTGGGCAGAAGTTGGTGTCTCATCTTACCACCCACCTGTTGATGTCCCCATCAAGGGGTCAATATCTACTCTTGCTGTTGTAGGGTCAGCCCTTCAGAGGAGCCCAAGGGCCTGAAAACAGAACTTCCCAGCAGCGTGTCCTCTCACACACGTGCCAGGAAAAAGACGCACCCACAACTGCCAAGTGAGGGGAACCAGCTGCTCCTGTGCCCACCAGCCAGTGCAACGCAGACATACCAGAGCTCTGGTGCCAAGCACACTCAGAGCTGTTGCTCTGCTGTAGCTGTGGGAGATGACCAGCAAGGAGCAGAGTGAGCTGTGCTGCCCAGCAGACCTGTGAGACACCATTCAGCTGGGCATGGAGAGCACTACCAGTGTGTGGGGTGTCACTGGTGCCCTTGGGAGGACAGGGAGGCTGCTGCTCCTGGCACAGGCGCCTACAATGCCAGCCCATGGTGTTCAGCATCCCACTTCAAACCTGGAACCAGGGCAGGCTTCCACAGAGCAGCCTCAGAACAGCTAAAGAACAGCACCACCAGCAGACAGCTCCTGCACTCATTACTGGCAGCCACAGCTGGAGAAAGGCCAGAAATGGAACATGTGCCACAGAGGACTCTCTCAGGCCCATCAGAGGTTCAGTTAACAACTACCTGCTCCTCCATGCTCCTTCCCACCCAAGTTCAGTCATTTCAGAGACACGAGTGTCTCGTGCTGTGTCGTGGGGACGGGGACTGAGGGGACAGCACGTCAGGCAGCACCCTGTCCCACAGCACAAGCCAGAGTTGCTTCTGACCCTTCTGCAGCAGACCCAGGTCCTGAGCCCCAGGGGCCAGCAATGAGGCCGATGGCTCAGCCAGCCCCACGTGAGAACCACCTGCCCTGGTTTGTCCCCTGGCCAGCATCGATCTCTGCTGAGCATCCTGCTGGGTCACCTCGGGCAGAACACGGAGTGATGGGAGGCTGAGCTGGCCGCCGTGCAGATGGAACACTGTCAGCCTGTTTTCTTGGAACAATAATTAGCTGTGTACACAAGATGACTCTGATGGAGTCCTCTTCTGGTGTTCAAGAAGGCCCCCTCCCCTGAGCTGAGCAGGGCAGGTCACAGACCATAAACAGAGCAGAACCACTGCAGAGCTCCAGAAACACAGACCTTTTGTAGCAAAGTCCTAGCCAGCACCTTCCCGTGGAAGGTCCCACTAGCAGTAACTCTTTCTCCCCACCCCAAATCACGGGGCAGCTGCCACTGACCAGCCCCAGCCTCTAGCCCTGCCCGCTCTGCAGGGCACAGGCATGGCAGCCTGGCTGCACTGAGAACATCTCTGCCTGCCTCTGGACAAGTGGTCACAGTCCTGGAGACAAGAACCTTCAGAGAACCCTCTCCAGGTCACCACGGGTGACAGCCACCACCAGCAGAGTGCTGCTGGGTCTGCAAACACCATTTCTGACCCCATTCAGCAGCCAAGGGCCCAGCCCCAGCACTCCAGCCCGGGGAGCCCCAGGAGGCAGCCGGGGCCACGGACGCTCCTCTCCCACCACCCCGTGCACCCACACTCAGTGGCAGGCACCAGGAGTCCCCCAGGCTGCCCTCTACCTCCACCATGCCCTCCTGGGACATTTAGAGCCTATTTTCTTACAAAAATATTTCCAGCAGCAAGTGGCTGGTTTGGAAATAGCAGCATAGCTCAGTGGGTCACGTGCCCCTGCCTTGCACAGCCCCAGGCTTCCCTGCAGGCAGATTCCTCCGGGAACTGCTGGGAGCAGCAAGGTTCCCACTCACCTCCAGCCAGCTGGCAAGTGGAGCCACTCGTTCCAGGAGCCTGGCCCAGGGTCTGCTCAGAGCTGCCGTCTGCCTGCCCAAGCTGCTCTAATCTGGACATGACTGGGCATCTTGACTTTCTTCTTTACAGATTAGCCAGTGCAAATCTCTTCAGGTTAAGGTACCAGAAGCTGCCTGCCTCCAAAAGCATTCAGAAAGTGGAGCTCCTCTCAAATGTAGTATTTAGTGAAGTCTGAGACAGCAGATGAACACACTGTTTTGGCAGAGTCCCTTGAGAATCATCCCAAGAATTCTGATCCTCTTTCAGGTCACGTTCAAATACCATCATCCCATATTCTGATAAAACAAAGACTAGGTAGTATTAAAATCTCAACTTTATTTGGCCAACAAATTCAGTTCCAATGTTATTGTAGCGGAATGCCAAGAACCAGCCTGACGCAGCTCAGGCCTTTGAGGCACTCTCCTGTTCAAGTTCCTCCCCAAAACCCAGTAATTGCAAATGTCCTGTTTGATCTGTTTTATCAGGCCCTCCCACACCACCCACCTGCCTGGTCAACCCCCTCGAAGTAACACAGGGAAAGGGATGGCAGAAGAGTCTCGCCTTTGATCGAAAGGATGGCCACACAGCCAGGCCTTGCTTGGACCACCCCCCCAGAGCCTGCCACAGCCAGTGCACAGTGTTCCACCCTGCCAGGTGTCTGGAACTCATCTCCAAGTGTCGTACAGCAGAAGGGAAAGAAAACATCTGCCCAGCACAAGAGAAGCAGCCTCCTATACCCCTTTCAGGGGGAAGAAGCCCTCAGCCTGACGCCCCTTCCCCTACACACACTGAAGGCTGATTCCAGGGATGAACAGTGGAGGCCATGAAGGACCCTGCTGGGTGCAGAAATCAGCTGCAGGCTTTAGTTTGAACAGAAAAAAGCTTTCTTGGAAGATGTTAGTGGCAAGGCTCCAGAACGCTGGGCCATTGAACTTGTGCTACTGCTTCACAGTCTGCATCTACCCAGAGGAACAGAATACATCAAACAAAAGCTGTGTACAAAAAAGTACATCACAAAAAAAATGAGCCCAGCTGGCTACCTAGTGACAGATCCCTTCTCAAAAGCAAAAAAGAAAGAAAAGAAAGTGTACAGCCAAATGAGGGTAAAGTGTTACTTTAGAGGCCAATCTCTGGATTTCCAGTCATTCACCTTCTGCTTTAAATCTCAATGGGTTTCTGCCTCACGGGGCTGCTAACAGCAGCCAATTTAGTGTCTGATTTTTTTTTGGGGTGCTGTGGATCAGTCTTCTCTTCATAATTCATCCTTGCGCATTTTCTGCTCATCATCATCACCACCTTCCTCAAGGTCTGTTTCTTCATCTGTCTCCACATCTTCCAGATCCTGTATAGGTTACAGAGAGAGCTACTGGTTTCTGGCACATGAGGCAGACCCAAGACAAGTACAGACCAGCATCCCTCATCCATTTGCTGGTTTCTCCTGCCACATGAACATACACCCAGAGACTTGTACCAGAGCTCTGGGACTGGGGCATTAATGGTTAGAAGATCCTGGAAGCTGGTACTGGCACCTGTAACACCCTCTACCCCAGCAGGCAAGGAGCTCCCAGCTCGATATGCTGCACAGGTAACGACCACAACATGCCCAAGTTCCAGGTGCTGAGCAGTTCTCAATAAAGAACAAGGCCTCTAAGTGCTCCAGCAGTTTGTACAACCAGAGACAGCTTGTGCAAAATGAGAGGTTGAAACATCAATAGTCCCCATGCATTTGTGTTCAATCATCTCAAGAACATCTATTTCACACACAGAGGGGTCCATCATGGGCCAGAAGCCAGGCTGCAAATGAAAAGGTCCATGTTATGGTGTGGACACTTGTTCACCAACAGCCTTTCCTGCCATGTGACAACCCAGATCTCCTCTAGGACTGCAGAGCCAAGCCCAGCACCAGCCCTGACCCACGTCCCATGTTCTGGATGGCCAAAGCACTGTATTAATGTTACTCACATCATCAGCTGCTGCCCCATCCTGACCTCCACTCTCCAGGAATTTTTTGAAGCCTTCTAGTGTCCTCTCCCCATTATAGTCAATTACCTACACGGGAAAAAACACCAAGATAATGGTTATGGGCACCTACAGAACCACGCCCCTGGGGTGGAGAATTCTCTTTCTGAGCAAGAGTTCATGCCAAGCAAAAGGGAATTTAAAAATTCACCTTCACCCATACGAGACGAAGGAAAACAGCTCAGCCACTAGACTTCAGAGATCACTGCGAGGAAAGAATAGCCTGCAGATGAGCACACTGTCCTCTGCCACACTCCCTCTTTCCCCAGCCCCACTTCCCACCCCTGCCAAGCTCTTCTCTACAGCCCAGCCACCCACAAAGGGCCTTGATGTCCTGTAGACGCCACGTGTTCATCCCTACGATGTCCAGCACAGAACTCCAGCATTTCTAGAGCTCCCTTGTTAAGCAATGATCTGTTCAAGGTCATCTGCCTTCTTACATTTCTGCCAGGGCCTGCAGGGAAGAACTTGAGTGTGGGGAAGCTGTGGATTTTCACTGCCTCCACTTCATTGGCTGTCGAGTCCATCTTGGCAATGACAATGTTCTCGTGGTCCCTGTAGGTCTCTCCCAGCTTGTCCCAGATAGGAGCCAGCTGCTTACAGTGACCACACCAGGGGGCATCTGTTAATGACAAAAACATCACTAGCACCAACAGCCTAACACAAGTGGCAACAAGAGTTACCACTGCCTCCAGAGCAGACAGTTCACACATCTTTGTCAACCAAGGCACTCCCTTGTGGCTCAGATCCTGTAAAAAGCTTTCTCCCTAATCCCAGTCATGCAGTGTTTTGGCAATCCATTCTAGACAGTTATTTGGAATCAGCTGTTGAAAGATACTTACAAAACTCTACAAAGACATTTTTATTCTCATCAAAAGCAACTTCTTCAAAGTTCTTGCCAACTAGAACTTTGACAGGCTGCTTGTCCCAGTCTTCAGGAAGATCCTGACTCATCAGGTGGGGCTGGAATGAGAAGTTCAGAGAGACTGTTTGTTACACAACTGCTTGGAATGTACATGAAGTCACACAGCCCAGAAAAGCCAAGTGCAACACCCCCAGCCCCCAGTGCCTCAGTCATGGACTGTGAGCAATCGGGTCAGCCCGTCACTTCCTCTGCTTAGGCCTCCTTCCCACCCCAAACAGCAGTGCCAGGTGTCCTTGTGCAGAGAGCTGCACCCGGGCTCTGCAGGAAGGAACCCCCACTGCTGACAGTGCCATTCCTGCAGGGCAGGTTGAGCTGAGCCACACATGGCTCCCCCAGCAGATCCCAGCCAAAAGCTCTCCATGGTGCACCACCCAAGGCAGCAGTTACCACCAGCTGCAGCAGGATTGGGTTCTGACTCTACTCTGGGGCCAGCACACAGCTTGCTTCCTTAGCCTTCATGCCCCAGTGCTTTGCCTTTCATTCCTCAGCACAAAGCCTGCTACACCTTCTGTACACTAGCTGGAAGGATTTTCTCCAGCTGACCCAACTCCTCGCAGGGAGCGTTTTTTATGCTTGCTCAGCCAGGAGGTTACCCCCAGCAGCAGCATTTATCTTCATTACCTTGATCTTGCCCTCCAAGAACTTGTTACAGAACTCTTTGATCTTGTCTGCTGTGAGGTCATCTGATTCAGGTTTGTATTTGGTCATTTCTTCCTCCAGTGTGATAAGACGCACAGCTGGACATTCCTCTTTCTTTAGGCCAAAAAACTCCAAAATCCTCTGGTTGTCACTGTGGTCACTGTCTATGAAGATGAACAGGATCTTTGGGGAAAAAGCCAAAGGCAGCATGGTGAGGACAAGCAGCTCTTGGCCATCAGTACCTTCCACACACACTCAGGGGGCAGCGGCTGAATGGGCCACTCCTCCCTCACCTTTGAAGAGGGCACCCTGCCAGGGCACAGCCACTGGAGCCACAACAGCTGGCACAGCAGCTGGAGCCACTGGAGCCACAGCAGCTGGCACAGCAGCTGGAGCCACAGCAGACCCATGGACCCAGCACTGGTGCCAGTTAAGGCAGTGTCAGATCCGCACCCACAGGAAGTCAGGAGTTACCTGCTGTGCCTTTGGCAGCTCTGCCAGCCCCTGTGCTAAGGGGCACAGGTAGAGAGCTCATGGTGAGGACAAGCAGCTCTTGGCCATCAGTACCTTCCACACACACTCAGGGGGCAGCGGCTGAATGGGCCACTCCTCCCTCACCTTTGAAGAGGGCACCCTGCCAGGGCACAGCCACTGGAGCCACAGCAGCTCTTGTTTAAATGCTCCACAGCCATTCAGTCACACAGACAGTGCTACACTCCTCTGCAGGAGGTGCTCACCTCACTCGTAATCCAAGAAACTCATCTCACCTTCCCTTTGAAGTTTCCAGCTGCACTCTTGAAGTTGTCCAGCTTCTCCTGATAGTCAGACACACTTTTTGGTAGGAACAGCAGAATATGAGTCTTGATCTCACCTCCAAAGATTTTAGGAGCAGTCTGAGAAGTAGAAAATAAACTTTATCTTTGGAAGAGAGGTAAAATCAGCGTAAAGAGCAGCTTGGTTCTGCCATTCTGACTGGACCACAGAAGCCTCCAATACCCCAGGGCTGCTTTGAGCAGCAAGCTTATGCCTCCCTCGAGTTCTTCACACTCCTCCACAACCTCAAACTAGTGCCAGCTCCAAACCAAACATGACCCCACAAGCTTCAGTTTCATCTTCATGATATTTGCAAAGTAGCTATGGAGAGGCCTCACAAGGTACCTGGGCACCTACCTGTTCAGTGAACTCTATGACCAGAGGCAATGCATTAGCCTTGATGAAGCTCAGTAAATTATCTTTCACAAGATCCCCTTCAAAGTTGTTACGACCTTCATCAAACTGCAAAAAATAGATATTCTTGCATTAAAACACTTCCATACCCCACACAACTCTCAAGAAATAAGATGCCTTCACAGCAGTCACTGGTCCAGTGGACCTTGGCTACCCTTATTGAGAGCAGACTTCCACATCTGGGCCAGGCCACCACACGTTCACAGAAGATGTGGATGGAGGTGTTCCTCACCCTGGCAAGCAAAGCCTTCAGTCCAGGACAGTCAGCTCAGACCTCAGCATTGTTATGGACAGCCATAAACACCACAGGTCACAGAGGGACATGCAGCAGCTGCCTTACAGCTCTGCACAAGACAGGCAGAGCAGAAGCTCCCAGAGCAGTGCCAGCTTTCTGCTCCACAGGTCAGGGCAGAGCAGAGCTGTGACAGCTCAGCCCACGTGCTGCAGGCAAGTGGTGATTTGCTGCACTCTGTGAGGCCACTGCTGCCCCTGCTGTTACAGACAGCAGCTCCTGGGCAGCACGTGCACCGGGCTAGAGGTGCCAGAGCCCTTTTTATAGTAGGACTTCACCTGTACCTCTGACTGGAATTCTGGGAATTCTCTTGCAGCCTGGAAAGGGAACAGCTGCAGAAGACCAACAAGGTTAAAGAGGATGTGCAGGACAACACAGGCTGCTGGCAGAGCAGTGCCTGGGCTCTGGCAGAGGCAGGAGGGTGGACTGAGATAACCCTCTGTAGGAGGAACCTGGCCTTGGCTGAATGGTTCAAACCCTCAGCACTGGAAATTCACTTTGTAAATTCTTCAGGGGGTATCAAACATCACCACAGCACCTTCAGAACAGTCATGTGGGGGTCTCTGCAAGTCTGGACAACTCACAGGCTGCAAGATGAGAATGAGCCAAACAAAACCTCTGTTTAGACCCAACTAACTGCAGAAAGCTGAGTCAAAGACTGAAAACATAACTGTTGGTAAAATAAACCATCTGTTCTTATGCCCTGGTGCCTAGTTACTGGTGGTGCTCACTTCCACCTTGGTTTGGAGCAGACATTTGCAAACTCTCAGGGCACCACCATGAAGTTGTACAGGAAGGAGGAGGCAACCTTTGCCAACTGAAAGGCATCTCAGCTGCTCTCTTCCACACAGAGCTGAGCACTTCTGCAGCACCCATGGGCTCCTCAACAGCCTTTCACACCAAGGCTCCTCCCACCCCCAGCACCCGACAGAGAAGCTGCTCTGTGCAGAGCTACTTTTCATTCCAGAGGTACCCAAGTTGGCTACTATTATGGGAAATAGCTTGAAAATTCCTTTGCTGTTTCATGACTTGTCCTGCCACCGCCCTGGTTCTTCAGAAGCAGAGAAAACTGTACCAGAGCCCAGAGGAATTAAGGGTTAGAAGACAGCACATCAGATAAATCGAGACAAGTCCATTCTGCAGAGCACTGAACATGAGGAAATGTGCAGACAACAACAGAAGGCCCAGGGAAGCACCCAGCTGGTGCTGGTAGCCCTGGTGTCACCCAGCTCCTTCAGAGCAGCCTCAGACAGGGCCCTGCAGGAGCCAGGGCTGATGTTCCCACAGCCCCAGAGAGGTGGTTGGTTCTGGAGAAGCATTTCCATTGGTACTTCAGTGTTTGGCAAGGGATAAAAGAGAAGCTGTGACAACCCCTGCAAACAGCTACTGCATCTGAGCAGGAGTGGTGCACAGAGCACACAGAGCAGCATGGGGCAGGCTGTAGGTCACCCAAAACCACAGCACTGCTCCCTGCGCCCACCCTGACTCCTCCAGCTGCAAAACCCCAGTGCTCTGAACGTGTCAGCCAGGTAATTCACCTGCACCCTCAGTCATACCAACTCCAGGGACTAATGACTGAAAATTTAAGGCTACAAGCTCCTGGCACCATGGAAATAACAGTTCCAGAGGTGCAGTGGAACAACAGGCTATTTTAGCTGAAGAACTCATTCAGCTCTTCAGCCTGTCTCAGGTCAGAGCAATGAGCAGTTACAGATTTAATAAGCCTGAGTCCAAAGCACCTTTCTGTCCTGCTGCACCACACCCACGTGTGCAGCACCACCAACCTCAGGGATCTCTGTGTTTCCTCAAATCTAGGATTTCATCCCACTGATGGATTTTAACAGCAAAAGCATCAGTAAATCTATTTCTGGCTCTGTGGATGGCCAGCATCTCTCTGCACATAACCAACTGCCTCAGCCTTGTCAGCTGGAACCACAAAACCCCCTCAGGAACTTTGCTGGAACCACAGAACCCACCACAGTGTGAGACAGAATTGCTCTCAGAGACAGCATCAAAGGACTGCAGCAGGGGCAATACTGAGAATGGTTAAAGCCACTCTGCTCAGTCAGCCATGGACATGCATCATGTCAGACCACCAGGACCTGGCTCCCACTCTGCTCCAGGCCTCTGAAGCAGGGCACAGGAGCCCTCACCAGTTCCAGATACAGATATTTTAAAAGGCTGTGCTGACCTCTACTGCTCTGCAGCCAGAAGCCTGAGGAACAGGGAAACAAGTGAAGCAACAGCTTGGGCCCAAAGCCCTGCAGCTTCCCAAGGGCAACACTGGGCTGGAGACCAACAAGGCTGCCAGCTGTGGGCCCTCTGCTGCCAGCAAAGGGACCTGGAGCTCCCCACCCTGCCAAGGGGCTGCAGACCCTGCTCCTCTCCCTCCAGGTTTGTGGGCCAACAAGCACAGGATCTCCTGCCTGTTTGTGTCCAGTGCTGCTCTCACCAGATTCTGACTGACTAGGGGACAGGTAAGAAGAGGCAGAAAGCTGCAGCACAGCACTGATGCTCTGCACCAGCTGGTACCTTCTTGAAGAGGACCACGCCGTCCTTGCTAAGCTGGTACTTGGTGAAGACATCAGCACTAGAGGAAATCCCAAAAGGAATATCATCCACAGCTTCTGCTGCCAACAGGAACTCCTTTGCAGGCTCGGATGTCAAATCCTGGAGAATAAAGAAAGGTGTCTCACACACCACACGTCAAGGGGAGGCACAAACGTCCCAGGGCTCACCAGTCAGAACTGGAAGATCAAGTAAGGCAGGACAGCAAACGTTTCACAACCCAGGGAGAGCTGTCAGGAGCCCACGGGGCAGAGCACAGGGAAGGCCCCAGACGTATGCAAGAGCTTCTCCAATGGAAGCACAAACCTTACCTTGAAGAAGCCAATGACAACCACTTCACTGGAGTCCACCAGTGTCTCTGCTGCAGCAGCATCAGCCAGGGTGGTGGCAGCGGGGCCAGTGCGCTTCTTCAGCCAGTTGACAATGTCATCAGCCTCCCTGCCCGCTGTGCCAGGGGACAGGAGCACGGGCTCAGTTCTGACCCAACCGCACGCCAGGGCACAAAACCCACCCTCAGATACTGCTCAGCAGCTGGGCAAGAGGTCAGGGGAACCGCGATAGGGTTACGCAACTCCCTCCCTTTCACTCCTGCCGTAATTAAGCTAATCCCTAATTGTCAAGGCAAGGTACAAGGGGCTCCCAGGAACCTATGTACCTCTCACTGCTAGCCCACACGTGCCCTTAAACTTTGCCCTGCACTACAGCCCTCCTCCAAGATGCTAACGTTGCCTTTCCCTTTCCAAACCAGCGCTCTGGATGCTGCCCTCCACAGCCAGCTCCGTGCCACCCAGGTTAGTCTCACCTCTTTCTAGCACCTGGCATCTGCCCCTTTGGCCAGCTGCTCAGGCATTTTTCAGTTCCGGGTGCTACACTGCTTATGTAAAGTCAAGCTGAGCAACAGATCCAGCTGGGTTCACACTGCACTGCCCCCAAACCCAGCTCCTTCTGCTTTAGCTCTGAGGCACTTCCCCGGCCCCCAGAGGGAAGGCTGAAGGCGGGCTCGTTCCTTGCCAGCCCCACCCGGCAGAGGGCCGCTACCGGGGCGCCACCGCTGCGGACCTTGTCCG